AACACGTACCCACTATGCCACGAGGGCTCTTCCAGCACATAGTAGGTACCCAGTAAATATTTGTGTAATGGATGGATAGATGAAGAAGATACAAAGATGAAGCAGAAGCAGATATTGCTCCATAGAAAATGGCAGTTGGAACATAAGTAAATACCATGTGTGGAGAAAATGGTGGAGCCCTAGTGGTATAGTGATTATGTGTTGGGCCACTAACTGAAAGGTCAGCAGTTCAAAACTACCAGGCACTCCTCTGAAGAAAGTTGGCTCTCTACTCCCGTAAAGAGTTATAATATCGGAAGCCCACAGGGCAGTTCTACCCTGCCCTGTAGGGTCATCAGGAGTCTGAGTTGATGCAGGAGCAGTGAGCTTTGCTTTTGATGGGAAAATGCTCTGTGCTGAAGAGAAGCAACAGGAGAGGAGCTGAGGGAACTCTGAGGAGGGAGAGGGCGCTTCCTGAGAGAAGAGGAGGCCCAGGAAAGCTTCATGGTACAGCACCGTTTACTGGATCTTGGAGGATAAAATTGAGGGGAGAGTACATTTGGGGCAGTAGGAACAAAGGCAGAGAGGGGAGAAGAGCCAGGATTATTTGGGGGTGCTCTTTGGGCAGTGACAGGGTATACCAGTCACCATGCGTCAGCTGCTCGGACTTAGGGTGACCCCGGGTGGATCAGAGTAGAACTGTGCTCTACAGCGTCCCCGTGGCCGACGTGGCAGGAGTAGACTGCCAGGCTTCTCTCTGGATCACGGAATTTCCACCCTTTGGATCATCAGCTGAGGGTGGGGACAATTTGTGCCAACCAGGGACTCTGGTGGCTTAAAGAAAAAGAAAAAATTACTGGACACCATGTTTGTCAGGACTCTAAGTCTCCCTCTGGGCTCAGTGGGAAAGGGCAGTGATTGATTGGTGATGTCTGCCATGGGGATAGACCTGGAGAGCAGTGGCACATGTGACATGTGTTTTTCCCTGCCACCGAGGGTGCCAACAATGACCACTCAAGCAAGAAATTCCCTTCTGATCTACCTGGCCTAGGAGCAGCTATGCCGGGGCAGGTGGCTCTAGGGCAAAGCCCAGAGCTTTGCTTCAAGCCTTGCAGGTGCCAGGTTTCTGGGTAGTGCAGGGAGGAGCTGCAAAGGGCCTGGAGCAGGCCGGACTGCGGAATGGACCGAGCTGGAGAAATCAGGTCGGCTGAGTATGGCCCGGAAATGGTGGCAACAAAGCTCAGGGGGAGTGCACACCCTGTGCTCCTCAGACCCCGCTTCTCCCAGGCTTCTCCCATGCGGACCAGCTCCCCTCAGCTCCTGCCCCTAGGCTAGTGGGCTTTGTGCTTGTGGGCTTTGTGCAGACGTGGTTGTTAGACTCACGGGCACCCCATGCATAACACCCTGCCCACCCTGCACCGCCCCCACAGAAGGTGGTGGAGCAGACCATTGTGATCCGTGGGCGTTTCAATGGCTGACCTTTGGAAGTAGACTGCCAGGCCTTTCTTCCTCGCTCACCTGCATCCAAAAGCTCCCGAAACTGTTTCAGCATCGTAGCAACACACAGGCCTTCTGTTGGCCGATGAGAGAGAGAGGCGGCTGCAGTTGAGGCTCCTGCTTGAGGAATCGAACCCTGGTCTCTTGCATGGTGGGTGGACATCCTACCACTGAACTCCCAGGGCCCAGATAACACCCTTGCTTTCCGTATTTCCGGTTTTAAAGACAGAATACGCATGTGTCACGTTTGCACCATTTTCGTGTGCACACGGCTCCTTTCCACGATCTCATCGCACGGTTATAGATTTGACTTTCTAACTTCCCTTCTTTGGAGCCTTTGAAGGTGCATTCGCTTAGCTAGGGGATTTTTCAGTGCCGATCTGTATTAATTGCCAAATTAGCCTATTTCATGTGCGAGTCGTCCGGTTTAATCCCTTGAAGCATTGAGCCTTCCATGTAGATTTGCTCAGCGGTTTGGCACCTACTTTCCCCCTCAGACCCACTCCACGGAGCTCCCCTGGAAAGGGAGGGGGTTCCTGGGTCACGGGTGCTGGTCAGTGACACACACACCTCCCCACGTCCCAGGGCCGGAGGTTCTCCCTGTCCTACCCACGTTCTCTCGGGCTGTGCTGGTCTGAAGCCCAGAAGACCTGAGTTGGTCAGAGGTGGATGGCAGAACCCGAATATGGAACCTGAGAGGCCAGGGTCTCCCAGGGTGAGCTTATTTCATAAGTAAGGTCCATGGACCGAGTGGCACCTTGCCCCGATGTGCACTGCGCAGGCGCATCTGGCCCCCCACCAGTGCAAAGACGGGATGAAACCCACCGGGGACTGCTCACCGCCAACCAGCAAGTGAACCCAGAGGAGCCCGTGCAGACCCTGCTCAATGCAAGCCGGTCCGTCACAGGCCCATCTGTCCCCGGAGGGGCCGGGATGACTGGGACGCCGTTGGGTGTCCCCAGTGGTGTGCATGAGCTGGGGAGCGACCTGCGGTGGCGTGGGTGAATGCTGAAGGAGCGGTCCCACGCATGATGACGCATGAGAGGACTGGGCATGCCACGCAGAGGTCATGGAAGGGGCTTCTCGGGGCCGTGTGGACGCCACAGAGGAGCCAGCGTGGTCCAGGAGTGAACACGGGGTGCTTGGGAGGAACGCAGACACTTCCCGGGGGTCTTGGGGCCACGCTGCTGCAAACAGACCCTCCAAAAGGGCAGCAGGAGGGAGCCCAATGCCTTCCGGTGTTCCCGCTCAGATATCAGGCTCCATCGGCTTAGTCTGAGGGGTGCGGTCAGCGCCTTCCCATCCCTGGTAGGTGGAGGCACTCGGGGCTCTTGATTGCAAGGGACAGACCCAAGTCAAAGGAGCACAAGCAAACGGGAATCTGTGGGCCCCACAACTTGGAGCTCATCCTAGGGGTTCAGGTCCAGGGCTGTGGGCGGGAGCCAACCATCACCGCCTCAACGCTCTCCTGTCCACCTCTCCGCTCCGCTGGGCTTCCTGCGCAGACACGCACAGAGATGGCCA